TGTTGGACTTTCAAGACAAAGGTAAACCACATCCCTGTGTGAAAGGCACAGAGACCCACCTGAAAGACAGTCTTTCACTTTGTCAGCTAAGAGACTGAGACAGGCCTTCAGAAAACTGTCCCTATACCATCTTGAGATCACTGGCATGAAATCCAGAACCAAATCAGCCTGGACAGGGTCCCAGATCTGTCACTCAGCGCCTGTGCTGAGGCAGCTAATGGAGCTCCAGATCCGAATTGCAGAGCTGATTAAATGACAATACATTTCAAACACGGCCCCAAGCCTCATACAAACAACTAATTAATGTAAGTTCTCATTACCATTTGACATGGCATGTAAAATTATAAAGTCATATAGGAAGTCATTTCTAGATAGTGTGAATTAATTTTGGAACTTAAATAGGGAGGGCGGCTGGGAATTCCCATAAATTGACTACCATATGCCAACCTTTTGTTGGCATAATATGTTTTTTTGTTTTTGGGAAGTATCAGGGATTGAATTTACGGGCACTCAACCATTAAGCCACTTCCCCACTCCTATTTTGTATTTTATTTAGAGGCAGGATCTCACTGAGTTGCTTAGCGCCTCACCATTGCTGAGGCTGACTTGAACTTGTGGTCCTCCTGCTTTGGCCTCCTGAGCTGCAGGGATTACAGTTGTGCACCACCACACCCGGCTGTATAATATGTTTTTAATTTGTCATTTGGACCAATGATATCTTCGTCATCATTTAACAACTGAGAAAATTCTGTTTTGTAGTGTTTGTTAATTTCCATGATATAAATACTTCCACCAGAGAGTATATCAAACTACCAATGTGAAGTCATTAAACTCAGAGTTGGAAAGAGATACAGTGGATCATAGGGATCTCTTGTGGACCTATATGACTTGGCCTCAGCTTGCCAGTTATTTATTCTCTGCTTTATTCTTCACATGTGAGCTTACTCACAAATTATAAGAAAAGAGAAAAAAATCATAAATGTAAGACTAGTTTGAGAAAAATATGTGTTCAAAGAAAGATCAAGTTCTGAAAGCAGAGATGCAGTGGGAGATAAGACAGTAACTACCACAAATCAAACAAGAAATAGCAGAGTACTCATGAGTACCAGAAATTTATTAAAAAGCCACACAGTGGTGCATGCTTGTAATCCCAGCAGTTTGGGAGGCTGAGACAGAAGGATTACGATTTCAAAGCCAGCCTCAGAAAAGGTGAGGCACCAAGCAACTTAGTGAGATAGTGAGACTCTGTCTCTAAATAAAATACAAAATAGGTCTGGGGATGTGGCTCAGGAGTTTAATCCCTGAGTTTAATCCTCAGTAGCAAAACAAAACAAAAACTTGGTAGATGTCACACAGTTGGAACCTGCACTTTTTTTTTTTTTTTTTTTTGGATAACTATATCATCCAAAAAAATAGTGGTTACTATTTTCATTTTTTAATTGGTTCCTCTTAGTTATACATGACAGTAGAATCCATTTTGATACAATTATACAAGCATGAAATATATCTTATTCTAATTAGAACCCCATTCTTGTTGGTGGACACAATGGTGGGGATTCACTTAGGTATTTTCATATGTGCACATAGGAAAAATATGTTAGATTTATTCTACTGTATTTCTTATTCCTACCCCTCTTCTCTTCTCTTTGTTCCCCATTGCCTTATCTACAGAAAGGTTCTATCCTCTGCTTTACTGTGGTTTAGCTTCCATGTATCAGTGAAAATATTTGACCTTTGGTATTTTAAAATTGGCTTATTTCACTTAGTGTGATAGTCTCCAGATCCATCCATTTACTGGCAAATGTCATAAAGTTATTCTTCCTTATGGCTAAGTAATATTCCATTATGTATTTACATCACAATTTCTTTATCCATTCATTTGTTGAAGGACACCTAGGTTTGTTCCATAGCTTAGATGTTGTGAATTATGCTGCTATATACATTAATGTGTCACTGCATATGCTGATTTTTTAATGTTTATTTCCCTTTTGTTCTTCCTCAGTATTTAGTGAAATGTTTTGACATTTCTAATCTACAGCTGACCTAAGGAGAATCAAGAGAAGAGTATTTGTCTCTACTTGTGCAAGAGCATCCAAAGAGCAGTGTCCCATGGATAATAAGATTTATAATAGAAATCAGTAAATAAAGCAACAACCTAAAGATTCCTCAATTCCTGGAGATTCTTCTTCTAGGGCTAAAATATTCTGACTCCCAGATGTTGTTTCATTCAAACAATTTCCTTTCATTTTGACCCCAATTCATCTTTTTATTCTTTTTACAACTTTAACTCTCACTCTCACTGATTCTCTCTGGTCTTTATATCATGCTACATGGTTTTTCTCTCTACACACCATCTTATTCTTCTGGATACTCCAAGGATTATTTACATGAATTCCATTGTTATTTATGATCTACTTCCTCATCAGACTCCCCAATTAACCCATCCTAGATACTCACCAGACAAAAGCAGAGTCCTCCTAACAGGATAATACCCATCACAACAGTAATCAGAGCAATGAGGATGATGGCCCAGGGCTGTAAATATCCACTTGGTTTGACCACATTTGTTGGAATGTGGCTCATGCTAATTTTATTTGTGCCCATGGACACTGAGCTTGTTGTACGGGAGGTGGCGCTGGCTCCAGGAATGACAGTTGAATCATGGATAGACACTATGGTGGTCATGACACCTGGGACTGAGGAGGTAGATGATGCTCCAAGAGTGGATGCAGCCAGGCCAGAGGTATTCAGGGATATTCCAGGCAATGCATTGCTGGTAGCAAAGGTCATGGGGTTCCTTACAGGAGCTGTGGTGACAAAAATGTGGGTGGTTGGTCTGGTCCTGGTGCCTAGGAAACGGGTTAAGCAAGATGATGCATTTATAATGGAGACATTTAAAGGTGAGGTGGGTGTCCTTAGAGCCAAGGGGGTCTAATCTAACATGGCTCTGGTGGTAGTGGTGGTTTGAAGAAAGGGTTGTGGGGAAGGAGAGATGATAGGAAGTAGTTCTCTGTGGCTATGGTCCCCAGAATAGAGGTCAGCATTTTAGAGAAGAGGATGTACAATATATTCATAGATGGTGCTGGTGATGGAGGAGGTAGAAGGTTTAGGAGATGACTGTGATTGTTGCAGAAGAAAGTCTAGTCAACTTAAAAAGTAGTCACCCAAAGACAGTAGGTAGACTAGGAAAAAAGTGGTAGGTCATTGTTCTCTTGTGATTGTGGTTACTGGGTATAAGGAGGATGTGGGAGGAGGAGATGAAGTGGTCAGATTTGTTCATAGCCATGTTGTGACCACGGCTGGGAGCAGAGGTGACATCATCTAACACAACTGCGGTCAACAAAGTAGAGGTAAGTGTGCTTGGAACAGATGTGGAAGAACCTGACTCATGAGGAGGAGGTTGACCACAGGGACAGGAGAAGGTGAACTCAGACAAGAGAACAGACTCCAATTTGGCAGAGGCAGTGATGGTAATGGCTTAGCTAGCAACAGATATAACTAGATCAAAAGTGGTTAAAATGATACACAAATCACTGGAATCGAAGTGAGTGTGCTCAGAACAGGGGGACAGACTGAAACCCAACACCAGTGTTGGTGGCAAGGGCAGATGTGGTCTTATTCAGATCAAGAGCCAGAGGATGAAATATTAACTTTGGTTTTATCATAGAGTAAGATTTGGCAAACTTTCTCTGCAAAGGGCCAGCTAGTAAATATTCCAGTTTGTTTGGGGGATATGACTGTTGAAACTACACTAAAGAACTGGAAAACAGTTGGAAACAATAGGCAAATGAACATGAGCATGTTGCAATAAAACTTGATTTACCAAAACATAATAGCTGGTGAGACTTGACCCATGAAGTATGGTTTACCAAACTCTGGACAAGGGAACAATGTGTGAAACATGATGTGTGGTGTCACAGGTGTTAGGCTGGACAGAATAGGTTAAAGAATATTACTTGTCCTAGGGTGGAGTAGCAGATGGGGATATATGCAAATAAATATTTCTGATTAGAATGAAAGGAGTTGAAACTAAATGAAGCAGCATGGAAGTAAGGGAGATTCAAGTTGAAACTAAGTGAAGCCAGCATGGAAGTAAGGGAGATTCAAGGAGAGGAAATAATACCTACCTCTGACTTGACAACAGGCTAGTGTAAAGAGAAACAGGCGAGAAGGTGGTGGTTGACAGTGCTTACATACCTTTGGAGGAGATAGAAGTGGTCTCAGAGACTGCAGTAGAGGCTCTGGTGATTTCTGGGCTCATGGTAGATTTTGGCATGGACACTGATATTCCTGTGATGGAGGATGTAGTGGACACAGAGTGCCTTGTAGAGAACAGGGTGCTTTTAGAGTCTGAGTTGCTCTCAAAGACAGTGGTGGACAATGTGCTAGGCACTGTCTCAGTGGGAGAGATTTCAGATCCTGTGGTGGAGTGCTTTGTGGTCACAGACTCTGCAGCAGTTCCAATAGTGGAAGCTGTAGTGGTCTCTGAGACTCCAGTGCTTTTGGGGACTGTAGAAAGGACAGTAGTGGGCACAGATGTTGTTGTGGAGGATGCAGTCACCTCAGATGCTGTGATGGGGACTGGGGTAGGAACAAATGTGTTATTCTCAGCCAGCATCATGGTAACCATGGAGTGCTCAGAGTCCGCACTTGTCAAAGAGACTTTTGTGGACACACTATGGTATGAGGTGGAGGCGGTGTTGGTCCCAGAGGTTGTAGCCAAGCGTGTGGTGGACACAGACGTTGGAATGGATGGTGTTTCAGGGATCATTGTGGAGGCTGTGGTGGTCATCCATACTGTGGTGGTCTTATCAGGTGTATCTGTATCTATGGAGTGTGGTAGTCCTGATGTTGTTCCATAGACTTTAGTGGAGGCTGTGGTAATGTCAGAGGCTGAGCTGGAGGTCAGGGTGGGCTCATATGCTGCAGTGGAGGACCTGATAGTCTCTGAAATTGTGGGGAACCCTGTGGTTGTTTCAGAGTGAATGGTGTTCTCAGGGACTGTGTTGGAGGCTGTGGTTGGCACAGTCATTGGGGTGGAGGACGTGGCAATGTAAGAGTCTGTTCTTGAAGCTGTTTTGGTCTCTGAGTCTACAGTGGAACCTGTGTTGTTCTCTGAGCCTGTGATGAAAACTTTGGTAGGCAAAGATGTTCTCAATGCTCCTGTGGTTGGCACAGATGCTGTAGTGAAGACCAAGGTGCTTTCAGATGCTGTGGTGGAGCCCATTGCAATCACAGACTCTGTAGTTGTTTCGGATGCTTTGGCAGAAGCTGTGGTAGAAGTTGTGGAGATCTCTGACTGTGCTGTATTTTTCAACTGCTGTGTTGAGAAGGCTTTGCTCGGCTCAATTGTGAATGTGGAAGACAGAGTTCTCTCAGAAGTTGTGATGGAGGTTGAGGTGGGTCCGTATATTGGGGTGGTCTCAGTAGGCATTATGGTAGCTGTGGGGGCCTCAGACCTAACAGTTGTCTCCCCAGCAGTTGTCTCAGAGGCTTTTGTGGAGACTCTACTGGTTTTAGAGATTGAGGTGGAAATTGAGGTGGTCTCAGAAGCTCCAGTGGTCTCAGAAGCCCCAGTAATGACTATCGTAGGCACAGATGTTGTGGAAGCTGTGGTACTCTCAGGAACTGTGATGGGCATTGTGTTGGACACAGATGCCATAGTGCTCTCATCAGGTTTTTTGGTGGCTGTGGAGGGCACATCCTCTGCAGTTGTTAGTGATGTTTGAGTAGAAACTGCAGCTGCCTCAGAGACTGTGGTGACAGCTGTGGTAGACTCAGAGTCAATAGTAAAAGTCATGGGGCGTTCAGAAGGTGCTGTATTCCTTGAGTCTATGGTGGAAGCTGTGGTCAGAACAGGCATTTTGGTGGAGAATGTGGGGACCTCAGGGGCTGTGGAGGAAGGTGTGTTGGTGTCAGAGCCTGTGTTGGTCTTAGCAGTCACCGTGAAGACTGTGTTGGGTTCAGAAAGTACTGAGGAAGCGCTAGTGTTCTCAGAGATTGTGGAGGAAGTTACTGTGGGCACAGATGTTATGGTGGAGGGCATAGAGGTTTCAGATGCTGTGTTAGCGTTTGTGGTCATTTCAATGTCTGTAGAAGCCTCAGAGTCTGTGGTGGATTCATTAGGATGTGTGGTTTTTTTGAAGGACACAGTCTCTATAGTTGTCCCAGAGGCTTTTGCGGAGACTGTTAGGAGCTCAGAGGATGTCACAGATGGCATGGTGAATTGAGAGTTGGTGGTGGAACGTTTAAGGGTCTCAAAGGCTGTGTTCTTAGAACTTGAGGTAGAGGCTATAGAGGAAACAGACATTATTGTGGAAGACATGGTAGTCTCAGAGACTATGGTGGAGACAATAGTAGGCTCAGAAGCTGAGGTCATCTCTGAGGCTGTGCTGGAAATTGTGTTTGGCACAGATGTTGTGGTGGAAGATGTGTGCATTTCAGAGGCAATGGCAGAAGCTTTTGTGGTCTCAGAGTTTATAGTGGTCTCTGAGTCTTTGGTAGAGGCTTTGACAGTTCCAGAGACTGGGGTAGAGGCACTGTAGGGGACAGAAATTATCATCGTGGCCTCTGAAGTCACCACATCCTTTGTGGTAGAGAGTGAGGTGGTCTTAGAGACTATGGTGGCACTCGGGGACACAAAGTCTACAGTGGTCTGTGAATCCATGGTGGAAGTTGTGATGATCTCAGGACCCGTGGCAGTTTCAGAAGTCATGAAGTCTGTGGTGGGAACAAGTGCTGTGGAAGTTGTGGCAGACTTGAATGCTGTGGTAGACAGTGAGGTGATCTCAAATGTTGTAGGAGAAGCAGAGGTAGATTCTGAGCCTGTGGCTGTCTCAGAGCCTGGGGTGGTTTCAGAGGCTGTGGTGGGCACAGATGTTATTGTACTCTCAGGAAGTATTGTAGTATCTGTGAAGGACACAGACTTTCCACTTGTCCCAGAGACTTTCATGGATACTATTGTGGTCCCTGGGGTTGTGATAAAGGCCTGGTGTGTCTCAGATGTTGGGGTGGACATTATAATGGTCTCAGTGGGGGTAATTGTGGAAGCATTTGTGGTCTCAGAGGCTGTTGTGTCCTTAGAGCTTGTGATGAAAGCTATGGTGGGCATAGATGTGGCAGTAGAGGACATGGCAGTCTCAGAGACTATGGTGGAGGCTAAAACAGACTCAGAGATTGGAGTAGAGATTTTCGTGGTCAGAGGTGCTGTACTGGAAAACTCAGAATCTGTTTTGGAAGATGAGATGGTTTTAGACATTGCGATGGAAGGTGTAGTGATCTCAGAGACTATTGCAGAGGTTGTAGTGGGTACAGATGTTGTAGTGGGCTTACCAAGTATTGTGATATTTGTGGAGGGTACTGACCCTGAAGTTATCTCAGAGGCTTCAGCAGAGAATGACATGGTCTCAGAGTCTGTGGTGGAAGTTATGGTGGACACCAATGTCATAGTGGAGTCCCCGATGGTCTCAGAAATTGTGGGAGATTCTGTGGTTGTTTCAGAATTAATAATTGTCTCAGAGGCTATGCTGGAGGATGGTGGTGACACAGAAATTATGGTGGAAGCTGTGATGACCTCAGAATCTCTGCTGGAAGCTGTGGTCTCAGAGACTGTGGTGAAGACTGTGGTAGGTAAAGATGTTATCATGGAGGAAGAGTTTGCCACAGATGCTGTGGGAACTGTGGTGGTCTCAGAGCCTGTAGTGGTCCCAGAGGTTATGGCAAAGACTGTCTCAGATGTTTTAGTAGAGGATGTTGTAGTCTCAGAGGCTGTGGTGGAGGTCAGGGTGGGCACAGACATTATCACGGAGGACGTCGTGACCTCGGACACTGTAGTGGAGGCTTTAGTGGGCACAGATGCTGTGGTAGAGAACAAGGTAATATCAGAAGTTTTAGTGGAGACTTTGGTGGATTCAGAGCCTGGGGTGGTCTTAGAGGCTGTGGTGGAGGTCAGCGTGGGCACAGATATTGTTGTGGAGGGTGTGGTGACTTCAGAAAGTCTAGTGGATGCTTCAGTTAGTACAGATGCTATGATGGATCTCTTTGGGGTCACAGACTCTGTAGGTGTCTGTGAGACTCTGTTGGTGGCTCTAGAGGTCTCAGGGCCTACAGTGGTGATGACTGTGATGGGCACCGATGTTTTGGTGTTCTCAAAAGGTGTTTCAGTGGCTATGGAGGACACAGGCTCTCTGGATGTCCCAGAGCCTTTAGCGGAGGCTGTCATTGTCTTAGAGAATGTCACAGATGCCGCAGTAGTCTCGGAGTTTGTGGTAGAAACCACAAGGATCTCAGAGACTGTGTTCTTAGAGCCTGAGGTAGAGGCTGTGGTGGGGACAGATGTTATTGTGGTTTCAGAAACTAGAGCGGGGGCAACAGTAGACTCAGAAGCTGAGGTGGTCTCAGAGGCTGTGCTGGAGATTGTGGTCTGCACAGACATTGTGGTAAGGGGTGTGAGCAAATCAGAGGCAGTGGTAGAAGTTTTTGTGACCTCAGAGTTTGCAGTGGTGTCTGAGTCTTTGATGGAGACTTTGGCAGTTTCAGAGGTTGAGGTGGAAGCCCTGAAGGGAACAGAAGTTGTCATTGTGGCAGTGGTGACCCCCAAAGCTGTGGTGAATGCTGTGGGGGTAATAGTTGTTGCATTGGAGAGTAAAGTGGTCTCAGAGGCTGTGGTGGAACCCCTTGGAGATCCAGACTCTGTGATGGTCTGTGAGGCTGTGATAGGTGCTATTGTGATCTCAGAGTCTGTGTTGGTTTTTGAAGTGTTAATTAAGTTTGTGGTAGACAGAGAAGCTGCGGAGGCTGTGGAAGGCCGCTCTGCTGTGGGCAGTGAGGTGACCTCAGATGTTGTAGTGGAAATTCTAGCAGTGGATTCAGATCCTGTGATAGTTTCGGAGGTTATGGTAGAAACTCTGTAGGGTACAGATGGTTTGGTGGTCTCCACAGGTTTTAGGATTGCTGCAGATTTAGAAATCAACATTATTCCTTTTTTTCTACTATACATCATCTATATGTCCTTGTAGTCTGATAGCTTATTATTAAAATATGCATGTCCCTCTTTTATATTGAAGTATGTTTTCTCCCCTTCATCTGTGATTTCTTTTCCTCTGTTAGAGTTATTTTTTAATAGTTTGCTCAGGTAATCATACTGTCTTTGATTCCCTATTTCGCTTTCCTAAAAATCTTTATTTTGGCATAATCCCATTCTCATCAAATTTTAAAATGTAGTTCAACACAAAAATTGGTATGTTGGGCTGGGGTTGTAACTCAGTGGTAAAGCACTTGCCTAGCATGCGTGAAGCCCTGGGTTCAATCCTCAGCACCACATTAATAAATAAAAATAAAGATATTGTGTCCATCTAAAAAAAATTTTTTAATTGGTATTTTAATGTTCTTAGAGGTGTTATACAATACCTGGAAACACTGTCCTTGCACTGGTGAGTGAATAAGCACACTATAGTATATCCAGACTATGGTAAACTCTTCTAGAACTACTTATGCATGTGAGAACTTGGATGACACATAAACACATTTTTTTCTGTGTGAGAGAGGCCAGGCTCAATCTATGTATTATAGGATCCCATTTGCATTACATTCTAGAAATGCCAAAGCCTTTCTGTGTGTTTGGGACACAGAATACATCATTGGTTTCCAGGAACTCAGTAGGGGAAAGACTGAGTATATAAGATCATGAGAGAACTTTGGGGGATGATGGAAATGTTCTGCATTTTGAGTGTAATGGTGGCTACATGACTGGATATTTGTCAAGATTCAAGGACTACATAGCAAAAAGTGTGAATGTTATTATATGTAAATGATATCTTAATGTAAAAACTATTAATGTTCAGTAGGTAACTGAAAAAAGATAATTAAATATTGCACATTGGTTTTTTTTCTTTGTTATAGATGTTGTTCTTAGGAGAAAGAAATCTTGGTTACTGGAGATGTTATAAAGATAATGACATCTACACAAGATTACCAAAAGTGGGTGTTTTTGATTAATAGGAATTAAGATAGGATTTGCCAATAACTTTAGTTAGCTATGACTCATGTTTGGGAGTAAGTCACTTTTGAGAGATGTTTGGTAGGCAGTCTTACCAAACATCTCTCAAAAGTGGATAAGTCCTACCCTTAGGTTCCATGTTTTATACATGGCCAAATTTTTGAGAACTTTTTAATTAATGGAATTTATTGCCTTTTTTAATATTTATTTTTAGTTGTAGTTGGACATAATACCTTTATTTATTTATATATGGTGCTGAGGATCGAACCCAGGGACCCGCACGTGCTAGGCGAGCGCTCTACCACTGAGCCATAATCCCAGCCCCTGCCTTTTTCTTTTCTTTTTTTTTTTGGGGGGGGGGACACCTTGAGAGAAGGTGACACATAAGAAAAACTATTCTTTAGTGATACAAAATAAAATATGTGTAGGATAGATCCTTGCATCTGATGATTTGAAGGCTTTTCTGTGTTTGAGTTTTCCAAAAATGATTTAATAGACCAGAGTAAGTGGTGGAGATGGATTTTCAGGTTTAGAATAGTGTTGCTTTACTACATACCAGTACTGTTTATTCATTTATGCAGAAATATTGAATGCTTAATATCACCTGGAATTTTGCCAAACCCTGAATATACCCGTCAATAAAAGATATAGGCTTTTAATATTATACAATAGGGTTTACATTCTAATGAAAAAGAAAGAAAAATGTGTGAAGAATAGAAATATACATTGGATTGCTATTAAGGAGAGTAGGGGGTCTTTCTTTAGATGATAGAATCAGAAAAGTTCTCTTTGTAGGAACTGACATATTATCTGTGATCTGAAGGGTAAGGAGGCAGGCCAGAGAAAGGATGTTACAGAACAATGGCACAACAACAACTAGGTTTCCTATCTATTCTTGTGATCCAAGAATAGATAGGAAACCTAGATGACTGGAATGTATTAGGTTAGAGGAGAAAATTATCAAGAAACAAGGTTAACAAGGGATATGTAGCTCATGACAGAGAAGCTAAATTTCATTTCAAATGCAATGAGGAAATTTTGGAGTAACATAATCTGATTAATTTTTCTTAAATTGTTTTTATTTTGAAGAAATCAACAAATTCTTTTTGTGATTAAACAGCATTTAAGTAGGGCTTGCTTAAAAAAAAGTGGCAATCTCTTTTCATTGGAATTTTGAACCATTTATATTTAGTGTCATTTAATCAAATGTTAGTTTAATTCTATCATCTTGATACTTGTTTTCTATTTGTCACATCTGTTCTTTAATAAATTTCCTCCTTTTCCTCTTTTCTTCTGGATGATCTCATTTCTTCAACTATTGGTTTATTAGATATCCTTCTTATTTTTTTGCATGCTTTTGTTCTAAGATTTACAATATACATCTTCATCACAGCTTACCTCCTACTAATATTATACCTCTTCACATAGGGCATAAATGTCTATTTCCTCTTCTGCCTCTTATGCCACCATTATCATATGTCTTATATGTTCAATTTTGTAATTCCCACAATTCATTGTTATTGCATCATATTACTTTTTAAAGAGAATTAAAGTGAGAAAAACATATTTCATTTCTACCCATGTGGCTTCCATTTCTAACACATTTCATTCATTTGCATATATATCCAAAGTTCTTTCTGATAAAGAACTTTCTTTTACATTTTTTGCAATATAGGTCTCCAAGTTATAAAGTCTTTTAGCTTTTGTTGGTCTGAGAAAAGCCTTTATTTTAGAAAGTATTTTTTGTTTGTTTGTTTTATTCCAGGAATTGAACCCAGGGATGCTTAACCAGTGAGTAACTTGTCTAGCCTTTTTTTTTTTTGGGGGGGGGGGACCAGAGATTGAACTCAGGGGTACTCAACCACATCCCCAGCCCTATTTTATATTTTATTTAGAGACAGGGTCTCAATAAATTGCTTAGTACCTCACCATTGCTGAGACTGGTTTTGAACTCATGATCCTCTTGCCTCAACCTCTTGAGCTGCTGGGATTACAGGAGTGTGCCACTGCACCCAGTTACATGGCCAGACATTTTTTATTTTTTATTTTGAGACACGGTCTCGCTAAGTTGTTTACAGCATCTCTAAGTTTCTGAGGCTGGCTTTGAACTTGTGATCCTCCTGCCTCAGCCTCTTGAGTCATTAGGATTGCAGACTTGCACCACCATACCCATCTAAAAAGATATTTTTACTCAGTATAATTCTAGGTTAATAGGTGTTTTCCCCACTTCAGTGTCTTAATGATTCTTTCATTATCTTCTGGTTTGCATGGATTTTCAAGAGAAATCTGCTATAATTCTTATCTTTGTTCCACTCTAAATAATGTGTTTTTTCTTCTCTATCTCCTTTTGGGATTTCCTGTTTATTACTCATTTTTAGCAATTTAATAACATTGTGTCTTGTTATGGTTTTTAAAAATTAGATATTTATGGTTATACACAGTAGTTGGATTCATCCTGACAAACTCAGACGTGCATAGGAATCAATTTCAGTTCATGATCTTCCTTTACCCTTTCCTCCTTCCCACTTCTCCCTCCTGTACTCTACTAGATTTTTTTTTTTTTGCACTTCTATTAATTTGTATTTGATTGGTTATAAAGCACTCAAAAACCTTCACACCAAAACAACAAATAATCCAATCAATAAATGGGCCAAGGAGCTGAAAAGACACTTCTCGGAAGAGTATACACAATCAATCAACAAACATGAAAAAATATTCAACACCTCTAGCAATAAGAGAAACGCATATCAAAACTACTCTAAGATTTCATCTCACTCCAGTCAATGGCAGCTATTAAGATTACAAGCAACAATAAGTGTTGGCGAGGATGTGGGGAAAAAGATACACTCATACACTGCTGGTGGGACTGCTAATTGGTGCAGCCAATATGGAAAGCAGTATGGAAATGCCTTGGAAAACTGGGAATGGAACCACCATTTGACCCAGTTATCCCACTCCTCAGTTTATGCCCAAAGGACTTAAAAACAACATACTACAGGGACACAGCCATTATCAATGTTTGTAGCAGCAGAATTCACAATAGCCAAACTATGGAACCAACCTTAGATGCCTTTCAGTAAATGAATGGATAGGGAAACTTTGGTATATATACACAATGTAACATTACTCGTCATTAAAAGAGAATAAAATCATGGCATTTGCAGGTAAATGGATGAAGTTGGAGAATATAATGCTAAGTGAAGCAAACCAATCCCCAAAAAACAGAGGCTGAATGTTTTCTTTGATGTGAGGATGCAGAGAAGTAATGGAGATTTGCAGGGTGGGGAGCATGGGAGAAATGGAGGAACTTTAAATAGGCCAAAGGGGAGGGAGGGGAAAGGACAGGGAAAGGGGATAGGAATGATGGTGGAATAAGTTAGACATCATTACCCTAAGTACATATATAAGACATGAATGGTGTGAAAATACTTTGTGTA